GAGAGAAATCAATGTATACATATGTATAACGAGCATTCTAAGACTTCGATCTCGAATTGTATAGAAAATATTGGTATTGTAATACGTATAGTTGAAAATCTCTTTCTAAAGGCAACATGTAGTAAAGTGTGCTCTTCAAAATGATTATATGTAGATTGCATTAGTTCATCAAGGTAAGAAAGGCATAATTTTAGAATGTATCGCAAATAAACACCCAATTCATCATTATTCTCTGGAAATATTTTTACAAGTTATTTTATAATGAACACTATGATTAAAATCATTCATAATCAAAAGTTTATGATTATAATATCTTTGATTTATATCTTTTTTTCTAAGGTGCCGATGTTTTTTCCATCATCTCAGCGTTAAATCCCATGTGAATAAATGTAATGAAAAAATTGAAGAACTAGCTGTACCACTACCGTTGCTAATAAGGATTCGTTAACTACTTCACGTCTCAAGTTGTCACTATGTTATATAAAACATATACTTACATAAGAGAGAAAAAAAACGAGGGAGTGAAATGAGTAGAGGAAATAATGAAAAAGAGGAAGACAAAGTTCAAAATAACGAGAAGAGAAAGAAGTGACTAGCGTAGGCACCGATCTGGAAATTATTACAGTGAAGATTTATCGGACTTATTTTTAACTTTATTGCCTTTACTCAAACCATAGGATCCATTATTGAACAGTGTAGTGTATACGTCTCTTCAACTAAGCCTCAGTAAAAACATATTCTGAAGAATCAATCTTTATCTTATTCCCATCATAAATTAGACTTTTCCAAAGTTATCGAATAATTATTAAAGATTCATTAAGCATGAACATATATTCTTTAAGTAATATAAAATCAATTTTTTATTATCAGAGAAGAGAGACGACACACTTGAAGTCGTAGATGAACAGAATAAACTTAAGATAAGTTTACAGCTTTAAATATGTGATCTTTTGTCAACAGGTTTATGAATGTCATAAATACAGTGCTGCAAATTTACGTAAGCATTTAGCAAGTTCATTCCATCAAGTTCCAAATGTCTTATATGCATCGTAAATAAATGATGATTCAAATGTTGAAGTTTCAGTTGTATCACCTGAACGGAAACGTGAATTGCACACCGCTGCAGTTAATTGTATATTACGTGATGGTCTTGCATTGGGAGTATTTCGTCAACCCGGTATGAGTCAATTCCTCCAAATAGCTGTTCCTGGATATGCTGGCCCGAACGGTAAAACGGTTCGACAAAAAATAGCTGCAATATACTCATCATACACCACCAAACTTCGTTCTGTTCTATCTAAAGTTGATTTTTTTGCACTTACATGTGATCTATGGCGAAGTTCGAAGCGAGTACATTACATTAGTCTTACTGGTCATGTTTTTACTAATAAATATAAAACTGTTTCAATCGTACTTGGTTGTCATCGTGTTATCGGCCGTCATTTATCAACAACTATTGAACGTTATATAGAATTTGAATTAAAACGACTTAATATTAAACAAGAACAACTTGTTAGCATTACCACGGATAATGGTTCTGACATGAAGAAAGCAACATCAACACTTAAATTTGGTAATCATATTTCGTGCATTGCGCACAATCTCAAGTTGGTGGTAAAGCACGGTCTCTGTCTTTGAAAAGAGCCAAATTCAGATGAGTAAGTATAATTTAAAAATCTTGTACTTACCAAGAAACCCCACCAAGTGATACCTTCCGTATTAATTCATTTATATTTCATTCAGTAGAATATATTGAGATAAGATAAAGAGATAAACATCCATAATTTTTGAAGGGAGAGCCGTTGGGGATAGTTCTTTTAAATTGTTTCTTATTTTGATACGCTCGATCGAATGAGGTACGTATGAGTTAAAATAGAAGATATTGCCTCGTGTGATTTCTCCTCAGCATAATTTCGTCTCAAAATCTTTTTTTTCTATATCATTTGGATTAACATATCTTGAAATTACTTTACATCTATCAATACTAAAATTAAGAAGTATTTTCATCATCTTTTGAGATGAAATGTTTTATCGATCCTTGTCAGCTTTATTCTTTTACTTTATGTTGTGTTGTTAATAAACAGAAGTTTACTGTTTTTAGGAGTAACTATTGATATTGTAACGTCGCACCCTCGTTGATATTATTTCCTTCTCTCACTTCTCTGATGTATTAGTGTTTTAGAGCAATATCTTTTAATTCTCAGTTTCGATGATTGACGACAAAATGATACAGCTCAATCATGTAGAGCGTGTAATCAGTAAATCACAGCATGACTTATACTGGTATTTTGTATTAAAAGATAAAACATTAGGAAAAAGAAATTTGACATATATAGTTGTAACTAAATAGTTTGGTCATCCATAATTAAGACATTATTGATTTGATGAATTTGTTTATAATTAAAAAAACAGACTTGGTGTTTTGCGTCTGTATCAATCATCAACTGAAAAGCCGACTTACATTCTGAATATATTACAGATCTAACTAATTGATTCTTACAAATCTTAAGAGAGTCACAAAAATATGTTTGAATCTTGTAGAAACTCATTAATCATACCAAAGAATAAAAGATATACGAATTCAATATATTTCAGTTTCGTTCAAAAGAATCTTACATTAATAAAATAGTCAGTATGGGTTTTGAAAGATTTAGATATGTCAAAATAACTTACCAAATTTCAAAAGCAGGATGAAACCAAGAACAAAAGCTGATTCAATCATACGATGCACGCAGAATCTTGAAAATTTGAGGTGGCATACAAATTTTAAAAAATAAGCATTCTCTACCTGGTGTAAAGTACAATAGATGGTGAGAAGCATAATACATATCGCATAATATATACAGTACACCAAGATGCCAACTACATTGCTATAATACAGGCTAAAAAATAAATAGAAAATATTGAATAAAGTCCAGATAATGATCAACTTCTTTAAGGACTAAGCAATCTTACCTCCTAGTGAAGTAGATGTTATATATTTTGCTTTGTCAAAAAGTAACGTTTTAGCGAGAAATTATTGAAAATTGCTTATCTCTCTATATAGTGTATGAATGCTTTTGATAAGGCAATGGTCAGATGAAGAAAAACGCACTCCCGTTCTGATTGCCGAAAAGAGAATCATGTCAAGAGTTGCCGCTTTTGAAAGAGAAGCTACCGAACCAATCAAGATCATGTTGGTTTGCACCTATATATATAATTCGCAAGTGTATGTCGCTAAGTATTCAGAAAGCATCTTTTTAATCAAAAATGCATGAAGTCTTATGTAAAAAAATCCTAGTTATTAATTTTGAGGGGAATGTTCTTATTTGCCAAAATATACCTGATAATTTATTCGAATCTTCATTGCGTTCTCAAATTTAATATTAAATTTTTACATTTCTTCGATATGCGGATTATGATATAACATAACAATCATAAACGTGGGTACTCATTTAAACGTCTAATAATAAAACATTGAAAGATGAATGCATATCGAAAGTGAGAAGACTCAGTACTAAAGAATGTTTAAATACACGTCTACTGGTGTGATGATTTAAGTATTATTGAAGACAAATTTGAGTTCTTATTATGTAAAACAGCATTGATCTAGAAATATGATTACAAAGAGATCGTGATTTCTTCTAGTGCCTACATGCTATCGTAATACGTAAATTAACATTATTTCTATGTATCCAAAATCTGAGTTTTATTTCAAATGATCTGCCGTATTTCACATCAAAACTTATTGATGGTTAATCACTCTATCACATGATATAGAATTAATGAGCAGTTTGCCACTCGATTCCAGTAATACCTTTTCTGCCATTTGTCGTCAGTGTAAAATGATATAACTAGTATGTTTGGATTTTTGAATATCTTTATTTATCTTAGTATTATACTTAATATTTAATCAAAAATTCTCTCCAGGAAGCTTCTAGCATCTGAAAATAATGATATTGTGAATCTAAAATGAATATTTTTAATAATTGTATTCTTTGTTATCAAATTTTTCTTCATCCGCATTCGAAATGAATGACATAACTGCTGTACACCGATCTTTCTTGTTCGCAGGATCAGCAATTCAGTAATTCCGATAAGTAAACATTAGTACTAGTGTCAATTTGAATTTTTATAGCAGTTTCATCATATCAGACTCTGATATTCAGTTTTTACAGAATGGGAATGTTTTTTACTATTTTAATGGCACATAATATATATATTAAATGATCTTGTATTTGCCTTTTAGTTTTGTATTGGTTCTTAGCTCGAATTCTGACGATTGGGAAGATATTAATGATATTGATTATGGCGCATCTGATGTTGATAAAAACTTAATTGAAGCAGCTACGGATTTACTCAGTAATGAAGATAAAGACGATGATAATGAAGGTTGAAATCAAGGTGATGATACAAGTCATAATGATCCCACCGATGATGAATGTGATAGTGATTCTGATGATGATATTAATTTCTCGTCACTTACTATAAATGATAACAAGTTGTCATCAATTGATCATTATAAACTAATTCTATCTGTATTTAATTTAATGAAGAAAGCCAGAGCTGGAGTAAAATTTATTCGAAATCATAATGGCACTAATGAATATGTAATTAAACATGTTGAAGTAAAAAATAAACCACAAAAAGAAAATATTGACGGACTTGTGCTTGACATGTTAATTCGTGGGAATAGCTCTTACTTACTTCTTCATCGTGTATTGTCACATAAAGATATTGTTAAAAGTGTTTTTTCATTTCCAAACAACTTTAAGAGTACCCCTCTCCCTTTCCTCGCTCAAAATTTTTGTTTTTTTCATTTTTGGTTTTTTGTGGCCATTGTATAGTTTCAAGTACTATCTATCTACTGAGTATATTTTGAAATCCAACAATTGCCTTTAAAGATTAAAAAATTCTAGGAGAAATTAAATTTACATAGTGAAAATAGCTAGAATTTTATATTTTTTTGCTTTTTTTCTCAAAATCAAATTTTTAGCAGAAAAAGTACTGTTTCGCCCCCGTTTCTCCGACATGGTAAGAGAGATGGAGCTGAAACTTATTTTTTTACATATTCTACTCACCATTTGGAGTGAGTACTTTTTTTCTTTTCAAGAATTATTGCTCTGGTGATTTTTGGCAGCTTTCACAAAATTTGCTAAATTAATAAAAACAAGCGTTTTTTAGGGTAGGCTCAGTATTTTGACTTTTTTATTGAAACAACAAAAGATAAAAAGAAACCAAAAAAAACTCATCCCAAACAGTGTCTACTACCCGTAAAAAAATTTTCAGCTCAATCGAACATACTGTCTTGAAGAAATAGGGACGAAAACTAGGGCCATTTTTTGGTCATTGTGACCCTATTATCTCATAGAAGACAGCATCAGAGAATTTTGAGTCTATGACAACTTTTACTGTACTCACCAGGATCTATCTGCCCTGAAAATTTCAAATTTTTCTGATGAGCCGTTCTCAAGAAACCCCGGAAAGGGGAGGGTGGGTAACCTTAATGGCTTAACAGATAAACAAAAGAAAAGACTTCAATAATTAACACTGAAACAAAATGAATGGAATTTATTAATCGACATACGAGATGTTCTGGAACCATTTCAAATATCAACGAATGCGCTTTCAGGACAACATTATCCGACAATGGCTTCATCATTTCTTATCTGGAGTTTTTTATCACATTTTCTTCATTCGAAGTCAAATGATGAACCTGTATTATTAGCATTAAAAGAAAGTCTTCGATTCCAGTTCGATATGTATTGTGATAGTAAATTAAAAAAATGTCAGTAGAATCTCTATGACATTGAAATATAAAACACTTATTATTTAAAATCGTTTTTTTTTCATAGGAATTCAAGTCGATCATAAATCAAATGTCAAATATTTCAAATTTATTAATGAAACGAGTGATAATAACGAAAGGTTTCTGTGATTTAATATATGATATATCAAATAATACGTTTCAAGTTATCGAACAAGAACGTGATTATCTTGAAAATTGTCAAAAACGTATGCATCATTATTGATCAACATCATTAACAATATTATCATCATCATGTTATGATTATGAGAATTTTCTAGTTGAATCAACATCATCACCTACAACTTAAAGTTATCAAGATTTTGTAAATTTACTTTTTTAACTTATTCTTATACATGATAATAATGGATAAATATAGAATAAATAGCAAAGATTGATATTATTTATTATGAAGGAAATAATTTGTTTTTGGATATATTAAAATCTTTAAAAGATTTTTGTAATTTAAGCAACAGCCAAACAACATTGACCCCGCAGACCAGTCGACTCGAGTTGGCAATAATGTGTATTAGGGCAATCACGATGATCAATTAAGCCACAATTATAACCAAAAATAGGTTCAACACAATCCTTAGATAATGTACGACACCTACATACTGGACAACCACGTGAATCAAACTGAAACCCATATTCACATTCAAGTGCGCACAAAAATGGTGGACAACGGACAGCATTTGTTGTTGCAGTAAGTGTCAACAAAACAATACAAAGAATGCCAACAGAATACATTGCCGTTATTGGGTCTAATCACAAAAACAAAGTCAGTCGATGTATTTCAATGAGAATCAAAACGACTATTTAATAAGTCGCAAACGCCTATGATCAGATGGTTATATTCACATATAAACCTATGATAGAATATATTGATGTATACCTAGACTTTTAAAAATATTTTCATTATCCTTATCGGAAAGTAATCATTTTAACAATATTTAAAAAAAAAGTTAATCACGATAGCTAATAGAGCATTTTGAAAAAATATCGATTTAGTAGACGCCTTATGAGATGTAATGATTAGATTCAATATCTAGAAGGTTTTGCACTTCAAGAATAATAAAAAGTAAACGATCTGATGGAAAAATTCAATTCACATTTATATTTTCCTCAGGATTTCATCCAGTATAAATGAATATTTTTAATTACAAAATAATACTTTCGTATGATTGTATTTCCATTAATAAATAATGTTAATCTCATTTGATAATTATATCAACATTTATTTTAAAACAAATTCTATGTTCTTAAGAAACGATCCACACCTAATCGAGTATTTTGGTGGTAAAATATCATACAAAAAGCTTTGATATGTCTTTTTTATGATCGCAAATGAAAGAGCATGTAAAGAAACCTTCAGATCCTAACTTTTAGGTCTGTCTGACTCACCTTTGAATAAATATGAGAGAAACATTGAAAGTGTCTCAATGATGCTCTAAGCATAATCATCATGTTTTTGACGCCTTTTTTTGTGTTTTTTATGGAAAAAATTTTCTAAAACGCACGACCCAATAAAAAGTTCTGATGGATTGAATAGCGCAAAAAAAATGCACAAGATGCACCTAAAGAAGTAGTGTAAAAGTTTGCGCATAGTGCTCTAATTTAGTTCGGAAGATTAAAAAAAATACTACGTTTCATCACCACTTAGTTGAACAAATAATCGTTGTCGTATGGAGAAAAACATCGTTTCATTATCAATTAAGGGTAGAAGTTACGACGATGACCATGTCGATAAATATTTACCAAAGAATATTTTTAATACGCTTAGTAAGAGTATTAATGCCTGAAGGCCTATTAAGACAACATCATAAGAGCACAAGAAAGACAGAAGAGAAAAAAGAATTTAATACATCATCGCCCTGCTTTACTAAGAAACAATTTTAATACAGTGACAACAACAAGAGAAGAGGAAAAATACCTCATCTTTCAGCTACCTTTCAGTATAGGGTGCTGCCCGAGGGCAGTTTCGTTAGCCTGATATCTTTTCCTACAGCTATTACTAGCTGCCACTCTCAACAGAACGCCAGCCTGACTCAGAGTTCTTCCGCTCAATCACTTGAGCTCTCCGTATACACTGACTAACCACATACTAGCAACAGGGACCAGTGTATGTCACAACGTAGCCAGTACACTATTGGACAAGTGAGCCGAGACCAACAGTCGTTACTGACTTGTCCAGGGTCATCGCATATCTAGTGGCGCCGAGGGTCGAACATAGTAATTTGGTAGTACATGCCGAACAGCTTAGTCACTCAGCCATAGCGGCCTACAACAAGAGGAGAGGAACGTGATCAGAAGGAAATTGTACAATTGTGGAAAAACTGGTAGACAGAAGGAGAGATAGTTGTTAATCTAGCGGAAGGCGACGAGAGAAAAGAAGATCACGATCGTTCAGTTATCTGCAATGCTGATGATTAAAGAAATAAAACGATACAAAAGTTAAATTTCAAAATTATGACCATGGAGTTCGAGAAAAATAAATTTTTACCTCTTTAGTGTAAGGAAATTCACTTTAAACTATACCATTGAGTAGAGCATAAAAAAACTGCATAGACTATATACGTTTTGACAAGAGACTTTAAGACTCTTAGTAATTGTGAAAAGGCATCCTAAAGGTATTCGAAAACTCTTTTTTTTTCTAAAAATCACGTCATAAACCTGTTTTTGTGAAAAAAGACCACTGATTTCATGTCAAAAACGCACTTAAATTTTTTTCTAAAGCCATCAATAGAAAGAATGTCAAATTCTGCATTAGATAGGGAATTTTTCCCGTGTCATAAGTTAATCTTTGACCCTTCGTACAAAATCGCAAACTCATTATATTTCATATGACTTTCCCTTCAGTCAATAGAATGTTCATCATGTAGACAATCATTTAATAAATATAAAATATTTATTTTTTATTTATACTTGAAATAGAAGACTGAATAATTATTTCCTATAGATAAAGAACTTTTTACATAATTCATTCAGCATAAAGTTATATGTGAGATGAATAAAATGTCAAAATTTTGTGCATTATACACTATAAGACAATAATAGTTCGTGATTTTAAAATAACAATTCTGCTATGAGATTTTCTTGTAAGAATTTATGTTGATATATTTATGTTAATTTCAATATGAATCGGAGTTGAAGATTTTTAGATTGAAAATACTGTTTATCAAGTATCGAGAATATAAAGCATTTCTCTTTTCTTTACATCAATCGTTTCAATATGTTTTAGCGGGTGTGGATGTGTCGGTGTCGGTGTGGGGTGTGTATGGGTGTCGGTGTGGGTGAGGGGGTGGGGGTGGGGATGTGGGTGTCAATGTCGAAGAAGTAAGCAATCACACCCACACCCACACCCAGACCCCACACCCACAACCCAACACCCACACTCACACCCACCCTCACCCATACCCATACCCACACCCACACTCCCACACCCACACCCACACCCACACCCACACCCCACATACCCACACTCTAACGACGAGTATCCTCGGCAGAGCAATCTTTTATGGAAAAAATTGTAGACTACAATTCCTTAACTCTGTTTTCTTTGTACGCTCTATGTCGACTCTAATATTCTGCGCCGAGTTGAGCTCTCTCTACTGATTCCAACGTTTCATATCGATTATGTTCGTATGTTCCTGTATATCAAAAATTATTTTGTGAAAAATTTACTAATTATTGCCCACTTCAAAATAAAAGGCAGGTGGGCATTTGTTGAATCATTTTTGATAGAAACAAAATGGAGGATTGCCGTTTTCACCGTTGAAAAGAGGAGACAAAGGCACATCGCATTGTATATTGTGATATAATTTGGCCTAATTTCTTCAAGGACTTAAGTCAACATTTTTGAGAATCAACGCACTTCGATTTGTGGCTGAAGTAAATGTTCAATAATCAGAAGTGCTTTCGAACCGCTAATCAAAGATCTATAAAAGTACGTAAGGTGCGAACGTGTAGATTTACCCGTTCAGGAGAGATATAGAGATTTCACTTCAAAGTCTGACTAAATTTTCTAATGTTTTCTGCAAAAAAATAATCACGTTTTTTTCTAGAAAATTGATTAATAAAACTTTAGGAAACGTCTTAGGAAAGCCCATAATATACCTTCGATGTGTATTTGTCTCTCCTTTTCAACAGTGGAAGTCGTAGCTCTCCATCTTGTTCCTATCAAAAGTTATTCAAAAAATACCCATCTGTGTTGTTTTTTTGTAATGGGCAATAGTTGAAAAAATACTAACAGTCAAGGGGTTAATATAATGACAATTAGTTATTCTATTTTTATTCAAAGAGAAAGATTGTCTTTGAACGATAAGAGTATACTTCTATATAAAAATAATCCTACATTTATTTAGACTTTTGAGAAAATTTTGTTTCTATCTTTAATAGTTGAATATAGTTATGACTTATATTGCCTATATATCGAGAAAAAATGTTCATATGATTTTAATTTGTAGAGAGGTTTAAAGATAAAACAAAATATTAATAACTTGCTTGACATATTCATTTTGGAAGTTATTTTTTGCAATCGAACTTGATTTAAATTAATATACAGTGGCACATTTGGTTGGATTGAATATCTAATAAATATGAAAAATGCTTTGTTAAATCTAATGCAAACATAAATAGTGTACCATATCATAATTAAGACTGTCGGCACATCTAATATGTAATCATATTTTTGTTAATTAGTCTTCCTAAGTTAAGACTATATTTAAACGAATTATCCTAAGCGTGTTGATAAGCATGACTGTGTGTAAGAAAAATTATTTGCTCATATTATTTGTCTACCTTTATCCTTAACAAATAAAGTTAGGACATTTTCTTGATCGAAGATGCCGACTGAAAATGATTATTTTCCATCAGAATAAAACAAACGCAGATCTGTCAAATGTGATCCATTATTGTCATACTTTGCGAAGGTCAATGAAAACTTTTTAATAGGTTGTGCAAACTGAGCTGCGTGTTTCATGAGTGTAAACTTATTAATATTGTCTTCCGTAATAAAAAAACAGATGACTTTTTAATGTTACTTGACAAGTGACCAATCATTCATTGCGACATATTGATGAGGGGTTGTGAGAATCGTGGGTGGATGTGGGTGGGTGTGGGTATATGTTTTAATGATCTCTTCATTCCCACCCACACCCACCCCACACCCACACCCATTTTTATTCGCTCTTGAATAAAACATTGATTAGCTGACGAAAGCCATCAAATCTCGATAACAGGGTACAATTGAATAACAGAATAATGTGATATTTCTTAAAAGTGAATATTTATTAGAAAGGTACTATAATCGTCAATTTCCACAATATTTCTTTTGTTGCATCGAATAATGTAGCTACTCGATAAGTGTAAATCTAATGAGTTGATTGCATCGTTCTTTTTTTTCACATTGTCTTAGATCGTTCGCCATGCACATAGACGAATCATTGTTCACTCATACTGTTGATTAACTTATTTATAATTTTTGACTATTCAATATTGTCTCTTATACACCGACGCCATATATAAGGAGGTAATAATTATACGCTTTCATTTCTAAATATCAAAATGAAAAAATGACTCGATTAGAAGACTTATCTAATGAAATATTCTTCAAAATATTTGATTATTTACATACACTTGATATTTTTACGGCATTTTCAACACTCAATCAACGTATTACATTGATACTGCCTTCAATTTCACTTCGTACTGTTGTTTCCTCATATCATTGTCATCGTCAAATAAAATTTCTTTCTTCATATATCATCGACTATACACGTCAAGTAGTTTCAATTTGTCTTGAAGATTTCATTCGTGATTTTACATCTGTTATTTCTTTCTTTTTCATTCGACATACATTTGAAAATCTTGAACTATGTGCACTTTACTCATCATATTGGTCAATACAAATACGAACTGCATTGCAACAATTACAAAAATCTCATTCAGCTAAGATCGCTTCGATTTATCGTAGCAAATCATACGCAAATTTGTGAAGAAGAGAAACAAGATACAAGTCGAACTATATTTTACTCGCTCTATTTTGTATTTTACTTCAATCATTCGCATTTAGCAACTGGCGTTACTCTTAACTGGATATTAGCATCAATGACGTTAACATTCTATGGTTTACCTCATCAGTTATCAATTTATTGTGTTCTATATGAACTTCTACGAGTTCAAATATTCAACATACATAGTAAGTTTCTTAATTGAAATGATATGATTTCGTATTAGACTATCTGCAAATTGATATTGTTTTTAGAAGCTAACTACTAGGAGTTTCTTGATGTATGACCACTCTACATTATAATACATATAGTTTCCTAAATCAAATAAAAGACAAATTTTCGTTTCTCATAGTTATTCAATTCAATGCTCTATTTAGTAAAAAAAAAGTTATTCATTCCCAGCTTTAAACGATGATTGAGGTGTAACAACATAGTTTAAATGAGGCAGAACAAAAGATTAAGATGTCTTATAGCTCTAGTTTAACCAATTATTCATTTTAACTTGTCTATCAAAAATCTACCCAATGACAAACTTCTTAAACAAGAAGCACATGACGCGGTTGCATTTTGTCTTACACAACATTTTCCCGATGTGAGCATATTTTCAATCATACTCACCTACTTTCGTTAAAAATCAACAGAATGAAAAAAACAACCGTATGCCGTCTGTTTTTCTCTTTAAGTGCTACCATTCTTTTATTGATGTGTTGTGAGTCATTGAGTATTTCTCCAGACTGTTTTTTTTGTCGGTTCTGTGTCAGATTGGGAATTAGCTGAATTACCCACTAGTTTGTAGAATAAGATATATATATATATATACGCTCCGGCAATCAACTGACTATTCAGCAATAATAGATAACATTACAATTCTATTTTAAAAGGTAACAAATACTCACCGGATTATCTTTACGATATCTTCATTTTGATGACACGTTTTCTATGGACATTAGTCTACGGTTTCTAAATTAATAACGATGTGAGTTCTTTCTACAATTTTTCAGATTTATTCAATCTTTCTAAACGCACTGTCAACTTATTTCATATATATATTCATAAAAAAACACCCGACATAAAAATTACTATTAACCACAAAAACTCAAACAATGCCAAAAGGACGAAAATGTATGTTGAATATATCTAACATTTAATAGTTCAATTTCATTTTTGCTGATTTAGCTCGAGTGGATATGCAATCCACTCCCTCATCCACACCATCTGTGGAATCAAATGTTCCACAAAATAATCCATCAACAAATCAAATTACAGCTTCTTCACGCTCACAGAGCGAATTTCCTACACCAGCAGAAGCAATGGCTGATCTTTCATTACAATCGACTGAACATAAAGCAGAAAAAATTGGTCGTTCTCAAACCGAACATCCAACAAAGCGACGATATGGTGTGTACTCTGTTGTACCTGATTCGGCTGTATTGATGCCTATTCGTCGTCCTGATGCTCATGGCACTGCTGGCAAAGCTATAGAAGTCTATACAAATCATTTTCCAGTGTCTATTGACACTGCGATCATCAATCAATACGATATCGAAGTAGTAATGATTCGTGATGGACGACGACCATGTCCAGCAAAGAAAAATGAACGCTGGGAAGTACTTCAAGTACTTAGTAAAAAAGAAAAGGATTTTCCTATTGTTTGGTAAGTACTCTTCAAATTGAATATCGGAATTTTCATTATTATATTAGGTATGATGAAGGAAAAAATTTATATACCAGAGAGCTGTTGACTGATTTTACACAACCTCGTCGAGTTAAATTAACAATTAATAACGAAGAGAAAACCTTTGAGTTTAAAGTACTTAATCTTGTTCGACAAGAAAAAATCGGAAATATTTTCGATTTTATCAATGGAAAAACCACAATACGACCACGTGATCCTATACGAATTATAGAAACTTTGTTTAAACAACGTGTTCATGATCAATATATTTGTATAAGAAATAAATACTATGATCGACGTCAACAACTGCTTGATCTTGGTAAGTTTTCTTTCAAATAAGAACGAAAATAAATATCTAATCATTAAAAACTCTATGTAGGTGATGGACGTGGATTAGCTAGTGGCTTTCATCAAGCACTTTGTTTGACTCGTGGTGGTCCTACAATTAATGTCAATTTGGCATTTACATGTTTCTATCAACCAATAAATTTTGTTGATTTTGCTTGTCGATATCTACGTCAAGACATTAGACAGGGAGTAAATGAAGCTGAATTAGACGGAATGAAGAAGCTCTTTAAAAATATACCAAGTATGACTGATAAATAATATTTCAACGAGCTTTAGAATAAACGTTTATTTAATAGTAAAAACCATCCATGCTGGACGTCCGATCCAATATCGATTGAAAAACTTTGGCCTACCGGCAAATCAACTCAAATTTGAGCAGAGATGTAAAGATGACTCGGCAAGTGCATCGCTAACAAAACAAATCACAGTGGCAGAATACTTTGCGGAAAAATACAAGAAATTGAAATATCCAAATTTACCTTGTATCGATGCTCGAAGTGGCGAAGAACAACGAGCTCATTGGTTACCCATGGAAACCGTTCAGGTATAGTTAACAGATATTGAAGTACTGAATTATCACAGAAAGTGAGATCAAAATACACTGCAATATATTAGTAATAGGTAGGAAATCATAAACTGAAACAGATAGTGATGAATTCTCTATTTTGCAATACCTACAGTTCTATGGTATTTCACAATTCAATTCCTCAGTGATTGAGCTAACAGATTTTTATTTAGCTAAAGATCTAATTTCATTGGTTTCCATTTAATATTGAGGTACTGTTAAAAGATTGTTTACGAAAATTTTCCTTTATCGATCCATGATAATTTTCTATCTAATTGCCATCATATTAAAAAAATATACTTAATCTAGAATTTTCCGAATAATGAAGTCTTATACTTGAGATAATATCCGACAAGTTTCACAACACTCTGCTGACTATTCGAAAGAGATTTATCAGTAACATAGTCATTACTGTATAGTAAAAGAAAAAGAAAAACCATTCTTATTATAGTAACAAGCATTTGTTTCTATAAGACACATGAATCAATTCATCATTGAAGAGACTTTTATTGTGGATTATTTAATCTATAAATATTGTTCGAATCACCCCAAATCCTATAAAAATATTTTTCGACTTTGATTCATTGTTCTAAGAAAGATTTGAATATAATCACACTAGTTATTTCAATTTGCAAGAATAGAGAGCTACCGGATGAATACTCTATTGAAAGCTCTTCCCTAAAATCAATTATTAGCGTTTTCTGGAAGTAAAAAACGAATCTATAAATAAGTCGTTCTTTTATTTTCGTAGATTGTAGAATGGGAACGTGCTATGAGACCATTAGACAGCGTACAGCAACGTTTAGTAGCACAAAAAGCCATTGTTAAACCTGAACAACGCTACAATGAAATCATGGATATTATAAATAAACGCAATTTTAATGGAGATTCTTATTTAAAAGCACTTAATATTCAAGTTAAAACTGAAGATATGTTGAAAATACAAGGTAAATAATAGTTTATTCTTTCATTGATAGTTGTGTATTATATTGTGTAAGTTTAGCTCGTATTTTACCTCCACCCCAAATAAAATATCGAGCACAAAATAATCAAGAAGTTGTTGAGCATGTTGCATTTGGGAAATGGAAAATTCGAAATCAATTTCGTTCAACATCGGTGATCAATAAATGGGGTATGATTTATTTTGGCTCGAAACCTGACAACAATATAATCGAAATTCTAAAAAATTTCGAGAAACAATTACCATCGGTGAGTTAAGCATTTTAATCGAATGATCGAAATATCAGATTTTTATTACTAATTCTAACAGTTACTAATGAGATACGGTATTAGAATCAATTCAAATCCGTTGCCCATAGCTAAGCCAAGTCGCAAAGATGACATTGACCAAACATTCACACAAGTTAAGAGTCAAGATTGGCAATTGGCGATTGTTATCTTAAATGACACGGTACCGGAAGTTTATAATTATGTTAAAAAATTAGGAAATCAAAAAATTGGTTTAATAACTCAATGTGCTAGTTTTCAAGCTATACAAAGAAATTCCGAAAAACTTCATATGTGTATGTGATGATTTTTTTTTTTCTACTAGATTTGCTTAATGATAATAACTTTTATTTTTCAGATGTAGAAAATTTAAGTCAAAAATTGAATGCTAAGATCGGTGGCATCAATGGTATCGTTAATCTAAAAGCTGCTCTTAATCAAGCATCGAATAATGATCGTTTCATGTTTTTCGGTGTTGATGTTAGTATTTATATCTTCAAAATTCATTGAACTTACTCTCGATAAATAAATATTATTATTGTTTTAGGTAACTCACACAACTTCATCGAAAGAAAGACCATCGATTGCTGCCATTGTTGGATCATGTGATCCAACATGTAGCCGTTATGCAGTTCGTCTTTGTGAACGTAAATATTTTAGTTAAATCTTCGTTCATAAAAACAATATCTTTATGATTGTAGAATATCCAAAGAAAGAGCGTTGTTCAATTGAAATTATTAAAGAGATGGATAAGATGGTCATCGATTTACTTCGTATTTATGCTCGTTCATGTGGTAACACACTACCAAATCGAATCGTCTTTTATCGCGATGGTGTCGATGACGGACAGTTTCAAAAAGTATTAGATAATGAAGTTAAAAAAATCAAAGATGCTTGTCGAGGTAAACAAAAAAAACATTTCTTGCTATTATTTGAACAACAAAAAATGTATTTTTCTGTTGAAAATAGTTGTATATGGACAGAACCCACTGCCTCGATTAACCTTTATTATTGTTAAGAAACGACATAATACACGTTTCTTTACTTACGATGGTCAACGAACAGACAATGTTGAAGCGGGTACTGTTATTGATGTTGATATAACACACCCATCTGAATTTGATTTTTACTTATGTTCACAAGCTGCTATGTAAGTTTTCTCAATTTTTATATCGTAATATCGACCTACTTTTTTTTTCTATTTAAAAGAATGGGAACATCACGTCCAGCACTGTATCATGTACTTCATGATGAAAATGAATTTAGTAGTAACGATATTCAACAATTAACATACTGGGTATGGAAATTTGATTTTCTCAAAATTTATTCGATGAACAGGAAATATTATACATTATTTTTTTTCTTATTTAGCTCTGTCATACTGATGCTCGATGTTCGAAGTCAGTTTCCATTCCCGCTCCAGTACATTATGCTCATTTAGCTGCATATGCTTCCCATGTATACGAATTCGACCATGATGGTGATGAAATCCTGGAAAAGTATAAGCAGTTATAGCAATGACTAGTTTCTAATTTTCTAACTCTACTCTTTTTTTGTTTTTAGTGAGGACAATCAAAATGTACCGGAACCCATCTCACTTGAAGATATACGAACAAACGTGATGATACTGAATAACAATATACAGGATACGATGTGGTTCGTTTAAGTTAAATAGATCATTGTTATCTCTACAAACATGAATGTCATTTTTTTTGTATACTCATTTGTTTAACTATGAAAAAATAATAAAATACAAGTCGCCAAGTTATTTTTTCTTTATTGTCACTTGAGGAATCAAAAAAACAACTCACTGAGAAAAATAAACATTCAACGGTAGAAAAGAAATTATCATGTAAATTTTCTATGGAACTTTTTTCAATACAAAATATTAATCGAAATTAGAAGCAATTAATCAAGTAAAAACTACTTTAAGACCCGATTAGTAATTATTTTTCGGCTGTGATATACTCGATATGTTGTTTAAAAGAAAACCAGTTATTCTCGAGATTGATTTAACGTGTCTATGTTCCAAATGGGATATAGGTGTGGCTATGAGCGAACGTATAATGATGAAGCAGCACCAGTAACTATGTCGTCACCTATGTCATTATTTCAATTTGCTAATCCAAAACTATCTGCTCTATTAGTGATCGGTTATGGAGCATTCTATTACATCATAAACATTTGTGAGCTTGAGAAAAACAATGCCATCGTCCGTTGAATTTCTCTCGAATGAAATATCATATGCATTCATTAATAATTATTTTTAATACCAACATTTTAATTGAACATGTCTGAAAATAGACATATCTCTAAAAATATCAGTTATAATAGTCCATGAAGTTGAATATGGTACACCAACCAGCATCAATTAACGACGATGAATATTTATTTTCAATCCGTTCATGTACTTATCGAAACAATCTTGTGAGCATCACTCAGAACTCAAATAAGTTAGAGGTTGATTCTCTGAATGAAAATTCGAATTTAGGGGCTTTTATTTGGCTAGATTTCGAAATAT